ACACCAACAAAATACAGGAATGTAAATGCAGAAATGGAAAAAAGACCATCCAAATATCCATGAATTGAAAAGTGCAGTAAAAGAAAATCTGCTCATGAATTTTACGAAAATTCAGAGACCAGCACCTGAAAATGTTAACAAATATGCGTAGGTTCTCAGAGCTGCCAAAGAGAAAAACGTGAAAGGACATAAAAGGAATTCCTTAAAAGGGAAGGCAAAGGACAAAGGACAAGGAGAAAGGCACAGCAATTACTGAAATCAGGGGCTGGATTCTGAATTTTCTCCTGGTTGCTCTGGGCATCACATTCCTGACTAACTAATTATAAGTTCCTTTTGAAAATTTTACAATCTCTTATATTGGGTCCAAGAAACATACTTTAAAAAAAAAATCAACTCTGATCTTAGTGGATATTAATTTCACTGTTTACTTTTCTAAGCCTTTTGGCATAAATTGGTATAAATCTATTAACTATCATATGCAGACATGAATGAAAAATATTAGGAAGTCATTTCTTTTAAGTTACATGGAATATCAGTAAGGAATAATGTCTGATAATTAGATTTTATTATAATTTTTTAACTTTAGGTATATAAACTCATAAACGCAGTTCATTATGAGTTTGTTAAATTTAAATACTTAGGACTCCAGTCATGTAGCTCTCTAATCTATTTTTATTTTTATTTTATTAATTTTCATTTATTTATTTATTTACTTGTTTTTAATGTTTAATTTTGAGAGAGAGAGAGAGAGAGAGAGCGCATTCTCACGAGTAGGGGAGGGGCAGAAAGAGAGGGAGACAGAAGATCCCAAGCGGGCTCTGCCCTGACAGCAGAGAGTCTGATGTGGGACTCAAACTCACGAACCATGAGATCATGACCCGATCCGAAGTTAGATGCTCAACCGACAGAGCCACCCAGGCACCCCTATAATCTATTTTTAAGTAGGTGTTCTATGTAGAAAAATCAATGGTTCATTGTCCAATTGTTTCCATTTTGGCTGGCAGTTTTGATTTTGACATTAGTCTAGGGGAAGAAAAATAATTTTCCTTCTGTCCTTCTGAGTTCTTAGCTGAGACCCCTATAATAAAATATTAATGAGAGAAAAACAAACAGTTTATTAACATGTGTACCTTATGTATACATGGAAGATACCCAAGGAAAAATGAGTAACTCTCTGAGGAGGCAGATTTTGGGCTAGCATATTCTGTTGCTCTTCATTAGTAACCCAAAGCGTTTTGAAGTCCTTAATGGGAACTGGTGGCATTTGACTGGCTTTTGCCTTTGCACACAGGTGCACCCTGAGCGTGACACTGGAGCAGGCCATCATTCTGGCCAGAAGCCATGGACTGCCTCCTCGCTACATCATGCAGGCTACAGATGTGATGCGGAAGCAGGTAAGTCACACACAGTTTAGGGATTGTTTTACAGGACTTGTTTTTTTTTTTTTTTTTACATTTTCCATGTGTATTTATTTTTGAGAGAGAGAAAGAGAAAGAGAGGAGGAGGAGCAAAGAGAGAGTGAGACACAGAATCCGAAGCAGGCTTCAGGCTCCAAGCTGTCAGCACCGAGCCCAACTCGGGGCTTGAACTCACAAACTGTGAGATCATGACCTGAGCTGAAGCCGGAGGCCCAACCGACAGAGCCACCAAGGTGCCCCTACAGCACCTGGATTTGAAGGTTCCTTTTAATCAGGATTTATCAGGTTTAATGAGGATTAGTCAGCATTTATCAGGTGTCTGATTAGTGCCTGGATGTGGGGGACACTTTTTCAGGCTCAGAGAGTAAGTGTAAACAAGAAACACTCCCAGGGACGAAGGCAATACAGACATCTATATGAGGACCCTCCAAGAAACTAAGCCAACCTGGAAAAAAGGATGTGTAAGAGATAACCAGAAGGAGGAAAGGGGTTGGCCAAGTGTAATGGGCAGGAGTGGATTTGAGGCTTATGTAAGGAGCAAGGGCAAAGGCTACATGGCATTTTCTGGGCATCGCAGGTGATTTAGTAAGGCTCTGGAAATAGAATTGAGGAAGAGCGTGGGGGCAAGGAAGAAGAGGAAAGAATTGAAGGCCCTTCTTGCTCTTGGAGCTCTCAAAGTGAAGTCCAAGCCATGCTAAGAATTTGGTGCATTATTCTGAAGATAAAAGCACATATCTCAAAATTTTCCTTCAGAGGATGAAGAGTAGTCTTTGGGATGTCATTAGGTCACTGAAGTATTTATAGGTGGGAATAAACTCTCATAAAGAGAATGAGCTTTTGATACAGTACCCAATGGTATTTTAATGTGATAGTTTGGTTTCTAACGCTTAAAATTCTTTTAAAAGGTAACAAAAATGCATTAACCTCCAATTTATTATTAGGAAAATGTGCCTTATATAATAGAAAAGACACAACTTATTAGAAAGACAAGAGTTGGAAAATATCAATTTTATGTTTTATTCTGCCACAGTTTCTCAGGGTAACCACAGAAAATTGATTTAACAAATATTTATTCTTGCTGACTTGGTTTGAACTGCCCAATGATAGTAGGTGATTTAGTTTTTAAGATATGCTTTTGTAGTTAAAACTTATTTGTTTACTAAAGACTTAGTGTATAACTCTTACGCAAACGTACTAATCTCTGTGGGTTTGCTCCCAAGATATACTACAGAATGTAAAAAAAAAAAAAAAAAAAAAAAAAAAAAAAAAAAATCCATGGAAGCAGTCATAAGTGATACCAGCACCGGTTTGGGGTCTGTAATTCAGGAATAAAGTACAATGAATGGATATACATTGGAGCTTCGAGATGGGAACCCTGGAGCTGGAGACTGAAAACCAAGATCTGACAAGGTCTAACAGGGATTTGCTAAGTAAAGGTGAAATCCACAAGAAGCACAGGACGTAGTATGGTTCAGCTAGAAAAGGACAACTACAGATGCAAATGCCAGCAGATTTTGGAAGGATTTTTTGGGTGGATATAATACAAATTTGGTTTTAAAACGTAGACCAGAGTAAACTTGTGATTATTCATTTCAGGGTTGGGTTTGGGATGCCAAAAGTACAGAAAGGCACTAAGCATTCTGTTTCACTCTGTTACTGTTAGAAGAAGTTTGAATGAAGACTTGGAGGGGCCATCTCGAAATTATGGTTTACGGCAAGACCAGGAGACTGGTTATTTACCTGTTTTAGAATAATCTAGTACAGGAGTAATGGTGAATTCACCAGATATACATTCTTACTATATGGACTTCAGTAATCAAAAACGTTTAAGTTCTTACACGTGAGAACGGACATCTATAAACTACAGGGGGGAAAGTAAAAACCGTATTATGTAAGCCTTGGTGACTTACTTAACCAGTGCAAACCTTTTTGAGATACAATATACATGCTATATTTACATATATTATTATATGTATTATTATATATTTATAAAATGTAACTTAAGGAAACTGAAAAGTTATGAAGCTTCTTATAAAATTTCTAAACTGCAGTTTTTCAGTATTCATCACTTCTTCCTTCTATTTTTTTAAATAAATATATTTAGAATAGGTAGCTACCCTCCTTTGTTACTGGTTTCTCTGCTGCAAATATGGCATTTCCAGGTGGATCTGAAACAAAGAACTGATTTCTGACTTCTGTATGGAAGATCAGAGAGCCTGGGGCCCTCTCTTTAGAGAAAGTGGGTTAAACTGGTGTACAAGGGGATTTTCGCAGCATTCCATCTGCTGCCCATCCTCTCTCCAGTGTCCAACTGTTACAGGCAGTGGAATTAGTGGCTGGGATCCAGTCTGCAAGCCAACTCTTACCTACCTGTGATCTAAGTAGTTAGAACACAAATGGGGATCAAAGATCTGACTTTTCTGTTCTTTTTGTTTCTCAAACATTTAGACTCAACTCTCCAGAGACTGAATGGTTGAGATGTTTGCCAGATTAATGAGTAATATTTTCTAAGATCTTTAGTTTCTTTTTTAGGGAGAAGCGCTTCAGCATGATTTATTGTATGGTTTTCATGTACAGCTTTGTATATCTATTTTTCATAGACGTGTTTAATGCTCTGGTTAGTTAGAAGGGAAGCTGAAAGATAGAGGGAAGGGTACTATGCCCCTTCCAATTTTTTTGATAATGATTATAATAATCCTAGGCAGCACTTTTACATAACCAACGATCTGATTAATACAACGTTTGAGGGAGAAGCTTTCATTTCCATTAGAAACAAAGTTTTCTATCCTACAAATTATACATTCCACGTATTATTGGGTGCAAGACCGCCTCAATTTTTTTTTAAATAAAACTGGAATTTCAGAGTTCTTCTCCTTACCTACAATATCAGGACATTATACTGGGCACAGTAACAAAGGCTGAAGAAGATGTGATTCTTCCCCCATCTTATGGTGGCCATACATAGGCAGATACAGGTACCAATAGACAAGTGGTATACAACCTCAGTGTTTTCGGACATAAGACAGGGAATAAATAAGTGAGTAAACTGTGAGCCTCTCAGTGGCTGGGACACTGAGTATAGTTTGTTTTGGTGGGCATAGGTTTCCAGAATAGTACCTGGCAGAGAGTAAATGCTAAATGGCGTGTGTTCAATAGTTCAATGGTTCAGTAGTTCTAACTGGGATAACCAGAAAGAGGCTTCATGCAGAAAGTGATACCATGAGAGTGATTTAAAAGCATAGATTCTTGAGCCAAGCAACCCCAGTTTGAATCCCAACTCCAGTGTTTACCATCTGTATCATTTGGGACAAGATTCTAAGTCTCTCTGTTACTTAGTTTCCTCATTATTAAAACAAAGATTTTAATAGTACTTGCCTCGTAGTGTTGCGAGGATATACTCAATGCACTTAAAACAATACCTGATATAGTGAATGACCGATTAGTTATTAGCCAAGGTGATATTTGATTTGAGCCTGGGAGGATAAATGGGAGTGGACAGGTAGGGAAGAGGAGAGAGGAGGTCCTTGGGTAGAGGAAACAACGTAAACAAGGGTGGAAAAGTGCAAGTACCTGGCACGTTGAGTATATGAAGAATTATATAGTTGAATTCACTGTGGAATACACCAACAGTTGTGTTCAGCATGATGAACATCAGTGTGATTTGCAACCTTTGAAGAAAGCAAAAGCCTTTCTACAGACTACTCAGTGGAATATTATGAGACTAAAGACAAAAGTAATTATACACAAACACTATAGCCTAGTAAATCTATTTCTCACAGGGATATGATTTAGAATTTCTAAAACTAGCTTATGTGTATACTAGATTTGAAGAGATAAGTAAATATATTGTAAGTAATGAGAATAAAGTTTCTTACTGTCAGAAAAGGAAGTTACAAATAGGGAAAGGGAGAAGGCTATAATCCAGAACAAATCCTGTGGTGTGGATTGGGATCAGAGGTAGCAATTTGAACTGATGGATACACACACACACGCACGCACGCAAGCACGCGCACGCATTTAGAAATAAATATAGATGTTTGAGTATGTTTGCCATTAGTTAAATAGCTCTGTCTACTCAGACGACCTAGAAGCAGTTACATGCCAATAGTAGCAGTGAGCATACCCAGTGTCCAGATCTTGGGTTCCAAATATAATTCTCCATTGAAAAGAGCCACAGTGCTTGGAGAAGTGGTTAATCTCCACAACATAATTATTAACTACAAAAAGAAAAGAAGTAACTTTACAGTGGAAAAATCTGGCAGACACCGCTTGAACCGAGTGATGACAGTTACTGTCACCGATAAGATGTAGAGAAGTCATGTGATATGGTGATGGTCAACATCAGTGGTCTCATGCACTGAGGAGGCACAAAGTCACTCTTGTCCAAAATGCATGTCTTCTATCTGATCGTTAGGAAACAGCTGACAAACCCAAACTGAGAAATATTCTCCAAAATAGTGACCAGTACTTATCAAAAGTATTAAGGTCATAAAAGACAAATCAAATCCAAGGAAATGCCATGGATCACAGGGCCAAGGGGACAAGAAAACAAAATGTAGTATGGGATCCTGGGTTGGATCCTGGAATAGAATCAGGACACAAGGGGGAAATGGTGAAATTTGATTAAGACTTACAGCATTACATGAACATTGATTCCCTGGTTTTGACCATCATATTCTGGTCAAGTGAAGGGTGAGCATTAGAGAGAGTTTACATAGCTGAGTTAAGTATGTGAACTTTCTGTTCTGGTGTTACAACTTTTCTCTAAGTCTAAAACTACTCCAAAATGAGTTATTTTTTAACTGCTTAATTATAATTCCTAAATTCCTTCCCATCTTCTTTTTGCCACCCCCACCCCTTTTCCCTATTTGCTTTCCTTTATTTGGTCCATCTTGAGAGGATATATTCTTTTGTTTTCCTTTCTTCCTTTTCTCCTTTTCTTTCTTCCCTTCCCTTCCGGTAGTTCAGAATTTGGTAGCAAGAAAGAGAGTTTCAGAGATTTTGTATTTCTTTATTTTATTTTTTAAGTTTATTTATTTATTTCGAGAGAGAGAGCACAAACAGGGGAGGGGCAGAGAGAGGCAGAGAATCCCAAGCAGGCTCTGCACCATCAACACAGAGCTCAACACGGGGCTCAAACTCCCAAACCGTGAGATCGTGACCTGAGCTGAAACCAGTCAGAAACTTAACCAAGCCACTGAGATGCTCTAGAGTTTCTTTAAAACCACTCTCCTTCAACTGTTCTCAGCCCCAAACCCTGGTGTTTAGTTCTATGTAGTAACTAATTCCCATTAGGAACTAACAATGATTATATTCATTCATGAACTTGACAAGTTGTGAAGACTTTTTCATTGCTAAAGTGCATTGCCTTTGTACTATAAAGTTTGGGGCAGAATTCTTACATTTCAGAGATCCACACACACATGCCTTGTCCAGAATTGCTTTAGAACTATTTAAGAAAATATTTTCTTGATAAATACTATGAACTTTAAAATAGCTGATTATTCAGCTAAGGATAAAACAGGTTTGTGAGTGCGATAGAACTGTGATTTTCTGTTCCACAAAAGTGAGGACACGGCACATATTTGTAGCCTTCTCGTTTCTTATTTTCAACATCTAAAGTATTGCTTGCTTCTAGGAATAAAGACATAGATGAGATAGTGAACAGGAAGCTGTGATTTAAGTTTATTTTGAATGATTTAGGTAGCTATTGAAATAAATATCAACCCTTTGGAAAAATATGTCAGCATATTTTGATACTTAAAGCATTAGTTTTGAAAATGCTCAGATGATAATTTTTCTCTTCTGCTTCACCTCATCTCTCTTGATGTTATATACATTGTTGGAATAAATATTCTACACTCAAATGTTCATGGTATGCTAAATAATTACTAATACAATGTAGAGCTAAAAATGATTTTCCCTACTTCTCTCAGGGAGCAAGAGTTCAGAACACAGCAAAGAATTTGGGAATCAGAGACAGAACCCCACAGTCTGCTCCAAGGTAAGTGACTCCCCAGGTCTGCTCTTTCCCAAAGGGCTTACCGCCACTTCCAAGGCAGTGTCACTTACATCTAATGCACCTGCCACAGTACATGCCTAGTGAAGTACTGAATATAATCATGGAAATTGGCCTCGTAAACACTCTGTGGCTAAATGTGACTAGTCATAAGTGGTCTCTGAATTCAATGAAATTTTAAGGGAAGCAAACTTAGAGGTAGCAGGTAGAAGTCTTGACATTATTCTGTTTTCCACGTTCCATCATGAATTCAAAGACAAAAGTCCACACAGGTACTACTAATATTTGTAACTCAAGTGTACCGAACTACCAAAATGCCATTTTCATTTATTTTTCTCTGCCTGACATGCTGTTCCCTCTGGCATGATTGCTTTTCCCATCTGTGTCTGTATGGAAAACTCCTACTTACCCACAAAACCCTTTGTGTCCTTTTCTCAATGCCCTCTTCTTTTGAAGTCTTGGCTGAGTTTTCTTCCTCTTTGTGCTCCCTTAGCATCTTGTGTATTGGTCTTTTATAGCTCTTTTATAGCTCTGTGTTACAATATATTGTTCCATGTCTCCTCACCCAACCTGAATGTGGATTCTCTGGAGGCAGAGAATATGTTTTTTGGATTTTATTCCTGGCTGATCATAGTGCTGTACAGTAGACATTGAATATCTGAACTGATTTCAAGAACGTGCGAATGAACAAATGAATGAATGAGCTTTTTGTTTATGATCATATCAAATATTCACAGTTCACATATCATAACAAGAAAAGACTCTAGGGGCACCTGGGTGGCTCAGTTGGTTGAGCGTCTGACTTCAGCTCAGGTCATGATCTCACAGTTCATGGGTTCAAGCCCCGCATCATTGAGCTCACTGCTCTCAGTGCAGAGCCCGCTTCCGATCCTCCCTCCTCTCTCTCTGCCCCTTTCCTGCTCATGTTCTCTCTCTGTCAAAAATTAAAATTTTTTTTTAACTTAAAAAAAGAAAGGACTCTAATTCACCTTTAGAATAAATGAACATGGAGACGGCCATCAAAGAAATGTTAATTTCATTTCCCTGCTGACAATAAGGTAAGCAGCCATCTATCTTGAAGTGGGGCAAAATTAAATAATCTCTTTTACATTTGATTGTTTTTATACGTTGGCATTTTAACAAAAAGGAGACTCCTCCAGGCACTGTCACAGACAAGACACTTTCGTTTTCTATTTACAAAGCAGTTACCAGAGTGAGAATGATGACAGCAGCATTTATGAAGTTATATTTCATCCTAAAAAACTCTGTGGGCAGTAGAAGTACTTTCACAAGGGAAAACATATTTTCCCCCTGAAAATGGATGGAGCACTCATGTTCTAATTGTGTTTATTTTTAGTGCTGGCTCCTAACTTATTTAATCCTCAAGTCTTGTTAATGTTATCTTTCATAGTTGATTAAGTTAGAAAGACTGTCCCTAAGGAGTCATTTCACATAGGCATTCTCTCTCTGGCACCTTGAGCCGACGTGGTATATTGTGATAACGGACCCAGTGAAGTGTTAAAATTCCAATAAGAAAACAAGATAATGGTTTAGCAAGGTCTTCATAGCTAGAGCTTATAAACACTAATAAACAGAAGGGTTAAGATAAGACTTCAGCATCCTGATCAATAAACCAATATGCAAGCGGAATACAAGAAAAGAAACTGATGGACTCACTTTTTTCTTTATTGTATTGTGTTTTAAAACTCTTGAACTGAAACACAATAAAATGTGCCAGCTGTAAAGTTGACATTTTTATAAGAGAATAATAATCCCCAAAGAGAAATCTAAAGTAATTTTTAATTTAATCCTATTTATTCTTTCACTCACTCTATAAATATTTATTGAGGACTTAAGAAATGCAGGTGCCTGGATGGCGCAGTCGGTTAAGCGTCCGACTTCAGCCAGGTCATGATCTCGCGGTCCGGAGTTCAGCCCCTGCCGGGCTCTGGGCTGACTTGCCTGCCCGGGAGCCTGTTTCGACCGGTCTCCCTCTCTACACCTCCTCGTCATGCTCTGTCTCTCTCTGTCCCAAAAATAAATAAACGTTGAAAAAAAAAATTAAATGGAGATACAAAGAAAATATAGCACATGGAATCCATGTTAGACAGTTACACAGTTTAGGAAAAAAAAAAAAAAAAAAAAAGAAATGCAAAGCACCCTGCTCTGCTTCATGGAGGGTAGAAACATGAGATGGAAATAGAACCATCCCTCAAGGACCTTTCAGTTAAAGAGATGAGATGAGAAAACATAACTGGAAGGAAAGGTAGAATATAAGAAGCACTGTGTGAGGGGTGGGATCCCGCCCAGCTGGGCACCAGGGTTCCTGTCCCAGAGACAACAAATTTAAGAACAATTTGCTAGAAGAAGAATATTCTAGGATGACACCAAATCTTTGGGTTGGACGACAATGGGCAAGGTGACATTGGGACTGAGGATCAATGGGACACCCAAATGGAGATGGCTTTGTGGGCAATACAGTGTTCTTCCTCCTAACTTTCATACATTGGATCTTCAGATTAATCAACTTATCTTCATCATGAACCAAATATTACCTTTCAGATATAAAGGTACACTGGTCTTATTTTCTATTAGATCACAAAACCTGGGAACTATTGTGCTACGATAGCTTGATTTATTTTATTTGTTTAATTGTGAAGCAGCATACTGAAGTGGTTACACGTGGAAAACATGATTTTGAGTCCCAGCTCCTGCTTGATGACCTTATTTAGTCAGATTACTTATTTTCTCTGAAACAGTTTTCTCATCTTTAAGATAGGGAGAATTGCCTTGGGACAGATTATTATTGACACTGTAGCCTTGAAAATGTCTCTTTTGCCATGTAGAAGGATGAAGAGCATGATCTGTAGGTTGAAGTTTCAAAGCGTTACTCTCAGCAGATTTGGATTTGGGCTGGAAATACCAGCTCCAAGATGGCTGCCTGAGCCCAAACAGGAAAAGAAGAAAGTGGAGCCAGGAACAAACCTTTTCATGCAGGGGCACTGGTGTGCATGGGTGGAATGAAACTATGACAAGGGCCCCAAGGTGTTGGGCAAACCAAGGCCTTCTGTTACCTAACAATTTAGCTGACAAAAAAACAAATGCCTCAGTGCAAGGTAAAAGCCCAACTCTTAACTATTACATTTTACTTCCCAACTCTATCTGTCTGTTCTAAATTCCCAAAGCCCCACGATTTCCATTACAAATGTGTCTGAACTCAAATAACCCTGAGTCACTTCCAAGAAGCCTCACAGAAGCTGAATCTGCCCAGTTCTGCAGTATCCAGAGCTATTATTTCATTAGGTGATCACACGGAGTAGCCTTTTGCCAATTTGCAAGGCAGACATTTCAAAGACTTGCCTACACAGTGGCATTAGTTCCATTATGTGGAAACGTGCAGTGCAAGGTAATGGAATGTGATGGCTCAGCCCAGATCTCACGGGGTAGGACATTTGCTACCCAGCTTACTGTTTGTGTTCTACCTGAGTAAGGCCACTGCCTTTCCCTTCATTAGGCAGTGCTGTAAGGAAAATGAAAGGATCAAAATTAAAGAGGAAAAGAACTTTCCGATCATTCCATTATTCCGGCACTGGGAATGCATTTTGAAGCAAAACTGTAGTTTTTTACTGCAAAGGCAGCTTTGAACTATATCAGCTCAATTTAATGTATTCTTTTCTCTGGGAAAGATGAAATAAGCTTTTCTGATGTGAGATGTCCTTATTTCAGTATTCATTTTCTTCCATGGAGATTACATGAAGAGCATTAAGCACCTTTCAGACTTGAATAATCTCCAAAGGCAGTAACTTTTTCCTGTGTGTTTCCAGACTGGGAAAGTTTATGTTGTTAACTAGGTTTCTAACTCAATATTCAAACTTTGTCATTCTTTTCCCCTTTGATTTAGAATTAGCATGGGATTAAATGTTGAAGGAGAAGGAAACATAATTTGCTAAGTTTGTCAACAACTCCTGTAAACTGTGTTCAATTTAATTTGTATAAGAAGGGAATCACCATGCTACCCCTATCCCTGAGTTTGGAGTACTTTTGAAAAGGAGCAAAGTTGAAAACTGTACTTAATGTTATATTTTAGGGTTTTTTTTTTTTAATGTTTATCTTTTGAGACAGAGAGAGAGAGTGCACACAGCTTGCCAGGGGAGGAGCAGAGAGAGAGAGAGAGACAGAATCCAAAGTAGGCTCCAGGCTCTGAGCTGTCAGCACAGAGCCCAATGCAGGGCTCGAACTCACATACTGAGAGATTATGACCTGAGCCGAAGTTGGACACTTAACCGACTGAGCCACCCAGGCACCCCTGTACTTAATATTTTTAGATCACGGATGAGGCTCTCAAGTAGGGCCAGCATGGCCATGGAGCTATTAGGACTGTGAGTATATGTAGTCTAACATCTAGCCACCTCAGTCAGCTGATCTTCTTTCTCTCAGACTGTGCTTTTAATAATGGGTGTGCCCTGTCTGGTCACTGTGGCTGTCTTGCAGCTATTTTATTTAAATATTGAGAGAGAGAGAGAGAGAGAGAGAGAGAGAGAGAGAGAAGACAGGCAGAGAGAGAGGGAGGGAGAGAAGTCCAAGCAGGCTCTGTGAGGTCAGTGCAGATCCTGGCATGGGGCTGGAACCCACCAACTGTGAGATCATGACCTGAGCCGAAACCAAGAGTCAGGGGCTGAACCGACTAAGCCCCCCAGGTGTCCCTGTCTTGGCAGATATTACGTTCCCAATAATTTGGTTCTGGAGTTAGGATATTCTGGAGAATGTGGAGCTCTGGAGCTTGTACAATCCTAATTCAGTCCCCCGAGCTTTGCCTCAAGACACCCAGACCTGGGATGTCAAGAGGGAGCCCTTCTTGGTATCTCCACTAGTTCAAGTAGATTCCTTGAGCCACTTGAATCTCCACTTGATTCTGCTGGCAGATGAATGGAACAGTGGGCGGAGATGGGCAGATATTCCCGAGGAAACACCGGATAATTGTGCCTTTGAGATTCAGGCCTCAGGACTCTGCCACATCAGCTTATTCGTAACTGACTGCACCCAAGACATGGTACAGAATGAAACAAATTTTGAAAACTAGTAAGGAAACCAGTAGACCCCTATGAGAAGGTGCTGTTTTGCTACAAATTAGTCATGATAGACAAGATGGTAATTATCACTATAGTATCATCTCCTAGAACTCAGAGAAACAGTTTTGCTGCCAGCAAGGTGAACAGTCAGGGCAGGCAGCACTGGAGCAGAAGCAGCTGGTGTGGGAAAGATGACATTGCGTAATCAGTAGTCGTCTCCACTTATACAGAGACATTGGTGTTTTCTGAAAACTAGAACTGAAGTTTTGGAGTTTGCTAATTCATAAGTAATTTTTAGTAAAATAGGCAATATGATCATGGCTCCTGAACCAGGAACTTATTGTCAACATATTTTTTGTACCAGTAGAAACATCTCAGGTAATGGCAATATGCCAGGCTGCTGTCACATTCTTCCCTGCCTTTCCTAGGCTGTACAAGCTGTGCGAGCCGCCTCCCCCTGTTGGAGAAGAATGAGGAGAATCCCCAAGGAACCAGGCAAGCAGAAGCTTCTGAACACTAGACAAAAGACATGCTGGCTAAACATTCTTCATTCAAGATAAATAAATGAAATTTTTTTCTCTAGCTCCTTCCCCATGGAGTAAATAACCAATGTTCTTCTTGTATGTGGATACTTGTGCCAGAAATGGATGAGAGATCACTCAGACCATCTGTAGCTTCACAAACTAATCTGTCTATGTATTGACACTAACTATTCATTTTTAGGGTAAATTTTGTCCTTGGAACTTATGAAAAAAAAAAAAACAGGTAAACAATGAACCATTGTGCCTCCTCTCCCATTAGTTAGAATTATTTCATTGTGTTTGTTTTCATCTTCTCTGAATGGAATCATGTGATAATGGATATTTCCACTTGAAGAAGTCTTTCACTGAAGAAAGATGGACACACTTTTCAAATCATCATACAGAAATGTTACAGACCACATAGACTGGGTGTTATTGTAGGCATTCGGTCCCCTACCTGCATCAGAGAAAGTATGATTTGTGAATGGTGAAGAGCATGCTTGACTCTTTTTCCTATGGGTTTATTTCTCAGTAACAGAGAAGAGAGCTGAATGAGGCTTCTACCAAGACTTTTTTCCCACTACTTGTGGTGGGAAGCACTGCTTTGTGCTCGTGGACAGTTCCAGCAAGTGGGTGCTGTCATTGGTCTCTGAAATGGCATGGCTTCCTAGGGCCACGCGTACTGGTGCTGTGCCACAGGTGGCCAGGGGGTGGAGAGGGGTGGAGTGGGGTGGAGATCAGGGAGGTACAGGAGGGGAGAGTGGGGTAAAGGAGGAAATTTAAGTCCATTTAAAAAGTCAAATTTTAACTTAGAAAGATACCTAAAATTCTTACTTTTATTAAGACCTCCATATGAGATGTGAGACTCTGAAGAGAATACACCGTGCTGAGTATTTTTCTATCAAGGTATGTGTACAACAGTGAAAATAAAGCATTATTTGTTGAACTGTACAAGGACTGTTAGAGACCTTGATAATGTATGGAAGCACACGGTGTATTCTGTTTTCATTCCAAAATACACGTCATTTTTATCATTTCTATGTTGATTAAATAATACTGTTTTTTAGTGTAATGAATACAGTAATATTGATTTTGAATCTATAATTTTCAAAACAGTTAAAACGCCCTTCCTGTGATTGTGATGAGTATATGGATTTGGACTAATTTAGCATGTGAAATGCTTTTCATAACTAAGGTATATACAGATGATTATTACATTTTAATTTATGACATTTGATAATGATTTTCAGATGATCATTAAAAATCTTCACTGCCATCAGTTGTGTATTGAATAACAAAAATTCTGTGTTATACATATACCAGTTATTCATACACTGGTCAAGCTGATAAAAATTGTTCTTTGGCACAGAAGCACTTAAAATTTTTGCAATAAGTCCTTATATATAATAAGAGATAAACTCAAAGTTTTCAAAGGAAACGTTGAACACTTTGAATTTAATGAAGATATTACCTTAACACAAATACCTATATTAAGTATATCTTAACTTTCAGGGATTTAACATTCTTGATATTATTATCAACTGATCCTGAAGGTCCATGACATTAGTATTTTGCGATTTTCCTGTACTGAAAAATTGATTACTTTCATTGTGACTAGCGAGTGAGCAAAACTGATCAACTATCAAGTATTTTTCATATTGTCTTTACTGTTTTCTAGTCACCATCCTAGAAGCCTTATTTCTCATTAGAAGGATGAAGGGGTCACTTCAACACTTCAGTCATACTTTGCTATGTTTCATGGAGGAAATTATCTGCAATTATAGTATGTATAAAATAGCATATTTTTAAGGGTCTATTCTCTATATAGTAGGATGTGCTTAATATTTTAAGGCTTAAATGTAGTGTAAGTGTACCAACCTTCAGAGTGCTTGGTACTTCTTGAATGCTCCAAAGTTAGTAATGATTTCTATTCTCATCAGTCCCTGTCATTTTTTATTACAATAAAAATTGTAGCTAACATTTAAGTAGTTACTATGTGCCAAGCGGTACCTCCAAGTGCTTTATCCCTATTTGTTGTTATTGTTTCACTAATCCTCACAAAGACTGGGATGGTGTCTTTTCATCATCCCCATTTCACAGTTGAGGAACTGAAGCAAAGAAGGGCCCAGTGACTCGTCCAAGACCACAGGACTGACAAGTGACAAAAGTAGGATTTAAATCCAGGAAGTCTGCCTTCTTAATGCATTACACTGCTTCTCCGTATTCACATAAGAACTGTTGTAATATTACCCATTATTTGTTAGTAAAGTTGTGACATGTGTTGCCATTAAGTTATACATTTTATATTGAGTAAAAAATGAATGGAAACATATAAAATGTCTTTAATATGTGAAAATCATAAGATTTCCTAGGCATTTTACCATTCTGGATACACATTTTGAGGCAACGCAGTGCTGTTGCAATCTGAAAAAATATATTCCTCATAATTGAAGGTAACAACTTTAGGTATGTTTTGAAATTCTGGAAAAGTATACCATATAAAATTTGACTACGATTCCAAAACAGTGGTAGCAGTAAAAAAGAAAATGTCCAATGAATGAATGGATAAAGATGATTTTTCAATATCATAATGTGCTTCCACATGACACTGGACACTTAACTGGCCATGAGTTTTTAGAATGAATTTACCTAAATGCTCACGTACTCCCCTAGAACTCCTTGAAATGTTGCTAAAGCCCTACCAACAGTTCTTCCAAGTTCTGAGTTTGGACATTTGCTTCTCTTCACCTAAAGGGGAAGGTCATGCATAGAAATTTTGGTTCTTAACGTGGGATCTAAGTCAAAAACAATTGCTAACTAGTAATCCATAGTCAATACATCTTAAATATTCCATGATATCTTATAAAGTTATCTAATATAAAACATAACAAAACTTAATATAATGTTAACAGAATGAGCAATTTGAAGAGACTAGAATTTTCCATCTATTTCCGTTATTGTTTAACAAGAAACAAAGAAACAAAGAAGAATTCCTGTACTAGCTTTACTTCTATTGGATATATAAAGTTGAATTTAAGAGGTAAGCTTTATTTTATGAACTAATATTCTAATTGTAGAAGTCTCACACTATGTTCTGTCTCTCTCTTTTTTTTTTTTTTTTTAAGGTTTATTTATTTGTTTCGAGAGAAAGCGAAAGAGAGAGCAATCAGGAGAGGGGCAGAGATAGAGGGAGAGAGAATCCCAAGCAGTCTCTGTGCTGTCAGGGCAGAGGCTGACGCGGGGCTCGATCCCAAACCATGAGATCATGATCTGAGCCGAAGTCAAATGCTTGACTGACTAAGCCACCCAGGCGCCCCTATTTTCTGTCTCTTTAAATCATATTCTTCCAGTGACCTAGCTTCCCTATGCATTCAGTGGTCACTCTTCTTGTAGTAACAATGTTTAATTTAAAATTAGGCTAATATCTTATGACACTATAATATATATGAGATTACAATGGTATTCATTCTGACTCTATTGATTTAAATTTTATGATAGTTAACTAAGTTCAGAATGAGATGAAATTAATGTTGGTACTAACTATAAAAACCAAGAAAATAAATAGTTAAAAACAAAATCCTGAGGGACATATTAACTAATTTAAAAAAATAAAATAAACTATTTGGGGCACCTGGCTGGCTCAGTCAGTGGAACATGTGACTCTTGATCTCAGGGTTGTGAGTTCAAGACCCACGTTGGGTGTAGAGATTACTTAAAAAATAAAATCTGTAAAAAAAAAAACAAACCCAAAAACAAAGAAAAGAAACTATTTTCAACCCTCTGAACATATACATTTTATAGAAAAAATAATATTTAGTGACATGGAAGCTTTTAGTTGAGAGTTAGTTACTCTATATATTTGACAATAATGCATTTGTATGTAAAGTACTAAAGTATTCCTTCATTAGTTCATATAGATCTTTTCCCATGTAGCATGAGTTAAGACAGATTACAGGGCGTATTTTTACTCACTTGTATTAAAAAAAATAATACTGAAGTTTAAAATAGATATCAATACTTTAAGTCATTTTACTTTACATTTTACTTTAAAGGACATATTTAGATTTTTTTCACTAGTGGTATTTACTAATATTGAAACTAATGTTTGGTATGTGACTAAATTGCTTCTGAATTTTTGGAAACTGTGTTTGATTCTTAAAGACTTATTTTTAAGTGGATTAACATAGTAAATTATACTTCCCCAAAGCCAGTGGTAGTTATTCATTAACGTGTTTGTATATACTTGTGTTTGTGTTGAATTTGCTGAATGAATAGTCAGTTGTTCTGCTTAAGTATAAAGGCAAAAGCTTTTGAAATAGTTTCGAATAATCTAAACTCCAATTAATAAAAATATTCTGTACTCTATCAGAGTTTTGAGGTTTTAATGATAAGCCTCAGAAAAAATTCACCCTACATGAAACAAAAGAGGTGGGGAAAAGTCATGAGAGGAATCTGGGCCCAAAATGGGCCCAGGCTAATTCCTTTAACATATAGTGGTCACCGTCTTCCTAGGTGCTGCAGTTCTGTAATTGTCATTGCAGTTAGTCTTCGCTTAAAAAATTTTTTTACTACTTCGAGGCTTTGCCTTTAACAATGATCTCAGCATTCATATGGCCACATTGCATGCATGGAAGACTGTACAAGTATGGCCTGTGCATGCCGTAGCTGTTGTCCCATAGACACTTGGCCTACTTCACTCAGGATAGCCTGCTTCTCTCACTGAGAAGAGACATCTGAAGTCTACGAAGATAGATGTAGAGATACCTGTATCTCTGTATACATTTTTATAGACATATATATTTGCTTTTTGTTTTTATGATAATACACTATAGAAGTGACTTAGATTCTCATGTCTTGTTTTGGATGAAGATACGAAATACGGGGTTGTTCAATATATTGAATATTTGTTCTATAGGCATCAGGTTTGTCGAAATACACAGGAAACATGCCTGG